CCTTAGCTTTCAAAAACCATCATGTTAGTCTTGAAGAGTCACATAAAATAAATTCTTCTTTTTTTCGTTGTATAGCCACGTGTAAGACACCTTCATGCAAGAGAACATTTGAAGATTTTATCAGAGATGAACAAACATACAGAGATAGTATTGTTCTTCACATATGAGCTGTTGGAGAGTAAGACCATAGTGCAGATGAAAAGGCAGTACCACGACATTTAACTGGAAAAGTTAGACTTGAAGTTGGAAAGACTGCTAATGCCATCGGCTGCTTAAAAGTATTCCAACAACAGGTTGAAAATGCTAATGAACAAAGGGTATAGGTCTGGGTGTGGATGTGGATGTGTGACTGTGCGTGTGGGTGTAGTCTCGTTTTCAACTACACCCGCACCCACCACACCCACATCCACATCCACAGCCACACCTACACCCACCACACCCACACACTCACACACACTTGGAACACATTCCTGGACGAATATGGGCAGGTTTTAGTAACCATATGTATAGTGAAAATCTGGTATTTTGGGATTTTCTCACCATTGGTTTGGATTACGATTGATCCAAGGACACCATTAGATAGAGCTCGTCGAGTTGTAGTTGGAACGCTGCTGGAACGGTTGGAACGCGCTCTTGGACGAATATGGGCGGGTTTTAGTAAGTAGGTTTGGTTTTTCCTATTGAAAAAGTGCAGTATTTTGGATTTTTCTCACGATTGGTTTGGGCTATGGAAAATCCAAAGTTACCATTAGATAGAGCTCGTTGAGTTCTACTTGGAACGCTGATTGGTACACTTGGAAGGCTTTCCTGAGCGAATATGCGAAGGATTTACTCGAATATGGTGCTAACTTCACCTACGTATACAACACAATAAAAAAATGTAGGTATCAGTTTTTATTTTTTTTCTTTATTGGATCATACAGAGGGTGCTAAGTCATCTTGTGATCTTTTATATTCATGTTTTTCTTTTCCTGTTAAAGACGTCATCATTCAACATCAACGGGAGAGTTAATTTTTTTTTCTTTTTCTTTTCTTCGTTGAGATGAGAATAGTTAGGGTGAGTGAGGTACGTTGAGTTTACGGTTTCGCTTTATAAGAAGGACTTCCGGGTAGTCCCTAAAAGCCTGGCCAGGAACTGTCTTGGTGTCCGTGGCACATTATCGGGCCCCCAGACTCACTGACATATGACATCGGATGGATGCATGTGGATGATGTGGGTCTTCCCGCGCGTGCATGAGCATTACATTCGCCATGGCTCCACCAGGATGGTTCCTGGTCGCGCGCGCGAAGAGAATAGAATAGCTATGAAATCATTTTTTCATTCAATCACGATTTATTTGAAAGAGAAAGAGAACAAAAAAAGAATAAAATTCATCATCGCATTGAATTTCATTCGATATTAAATTTTTGTACTCGATTATTTCCACATTCGGCGACATAGAGATTGCCATATCGATCAAATGATAAACCTATGGGATAAGCGATCTGATTCGACTGTGCTCCTCTACCGTTTCCACCAACAATGACACTTCCTTGTGTGGCTTCTTTTGGCCAACGCATGATTCGATTATTCCAACAATCAGTCACATAGACAGTACCCAACTGATCCACAACGACTCTATTAGGACCATTCAATTGTGTAAGACTATTTCCTTTTCCTTGACCACCGGCTACAACAATGCCTTGTTTTGCACCTTCTTTCCATTTCATTACACGGTTATTTTCATATTCAGACACATAAACTGAATGTTCTCGATCGACAAATACGTAGAGGGGTTCAGAAAGTTGATCGAGACGATTTCCTTTTCCATTGCCACCTGCAACCACTGTTCCTTTAGTGTCACCAATTTTATATCGTCTCACTTCATGTTTTCCAACGTCAACGACATAGAGAGAACCATTGTCGTCCATTGTCAAACCGTCGCAAGTGATATTTGAAATAATTGTTTCTTCACGAGTACCATTTTGATGAGGCCATCGAACTACTCTGCTATTCCCTTGATCGCTGATGATGAGGCTATCGCTCTCTTTCTCGATAATCACATCATATGGGAGGTTTAATTGATTAGTTCCATTCCCTTCTCCATTTCCACCAGCAACTACTTTTCCATTCGTTTCACGAGATTTCCATTCCACAATACGGTGATTACCCCGATCAGCGACATAAATCGTTTGATCATCATCGATGTACAAACCAAATGGATGATTGAGTTGATTGAGTTCACTGCCCCATCCATTTCCTCCAGCAACAGTGAGACCATTCTGTGACCATTTTGCATTTGGATGAATATCAATGGAACTTGCACGTAGTGGTACTGAAATGAAACAGAAGTATGAAGCAAAAATAAACATCAATGTCATTGAAATGAGTCCTTCTCATTTGTTTTAAACAGTATTGAACTGTTCTCAATTAAAAAAGTTTTTTACTTATGAACTTGATTAGAATCTGATTTTCTCAATGTTGAAAACATACATTGTTGATTTTTTTCAAATACTTTGTGTAAGAATCCTTAGTTTGACTAAAACTAACTAAAATTTAACTGGTAATGTGAAAAATTGCGATGAACTCGAATTTTTGTCGTGAATGAAATTTTCTTGTATATCGAATTTTTCCAACATCTTCACTGATTTCGTTAGTTCGATTTTGAAATCTATTTAGATTTTGCATGTCAT